TGAAATTCACGAATCAGATTGTGAAGCCAACTTGGATGGAACAAAAATTGAATTTTTCGATGAAATAAAAAGGTATCCCTTATATATGAGGAGAAGTGCATATTTATATTTCCAAAAAGAGGAGACTCATTTAAATCGATTATGTGAACAAAGGGGTCTGTATTTTGACGACAGTTTCAAAAGGAAGAAAAAAGTAAAATATTTAATACTGTATGATGAATTTTGCAGTAGTCTTAATAGTGCGCCAAACGAGATGGGAAATTTAAACGTTATGTTCCCCAGTGATGGCAAAAAGGTTCCTGTCTTTGTCAACGACACGAGTGATGCTGCTTTCCACACAGAGGAGAGAAGTTCCAATCATATCTCTTGAAAGGGCAGTAATGGACGGCAGTGTTGGAACGGTTTACTTTTTTTAACATTACACAACATATACAATGCGCATCATTTGCGTAGTAAAAGATTGTAGGCACACAGGAAGTTGTACGACACATTATTTTGGCATTTTTTTGGATTCCTCTGCACTTTTTTTTTTACCATTTCTGTGCTAATTTGTGATGTGTATATGTAGCTATGCACATGTCCGAACGTATACGTAGCCAATATACGTGTTTTATGTTCCCTTCCTGTGTACCTTCACGCGTGCGTTTAATATTTATGCCAATTTAGCCATACGTGTGGCCAAATCCGTTCTGTAAAGTTTACCTTCCTTTTTTTTTTTTTATCTTTCTGCACATAATTGTACCTACGCAGTTTCTTTCACTTTTCATTTTTTTTTTTATGCTTTTTCGCAAAAAAAAATTAAGCTGTTTTGGTTAAATAAAAACGCACCATTTAACATGTGAATAACAGTAGAGAAGGATGTTATTCTTTTTTTCTCTACGCAATTACGGAAAAAGGACAAATGTGTTTATGCGAGATGAGCAATCGTTGCAACATCATTCCATTCAGTAAAGATGAAGAGCCATTCTGACGATAAATAAATGTGATATGGTTTACATAAAGAAATTACGGAGTGATATTTACAAGCTTCTTTTTTTTTTTTTTGCCATGCTAGGAACATATAACACAACAAACACGTGTGTTTTTTTAACTCGTGAGCAAAGTTGAGAAATTATTTTTTCAGCAAATTATGTTTGCCACGCGCAGTATGATCCTCCCCCTTCCATGGATTTTGTCCTTGATGCCGCATTTTAAGGGGCTTAGCCGAAAAATACAGGTGGGTAATACATCAAGCCTACATGACACTGTAAACATATGCGGTATAAATACATGTACTCTTTTTTTTTTAAACCGTGCAAAATACTGCGTATGCTTCCTTGCATTATTCGCTTGATTTTATTACCGTTTTCGCTAACCACATTTTTCATGCAGCGTAAGGCAGCGTAAAATAGAGAAAATAGCCCCATGTGGACTTTCTTTTTTTTTTTTTTTTTGAAAAGCGTCAGCCCGATTCTGCGTTTTGGGTCCCTTTGGAATTATATAGTTTCATTTCGACAGAACGGAACAAAATTTTCTACATCACGCGCAGATGATGTATATTGCATACAAGCGGGCACGTTGCATGTAAGGAAATATATCCTGCGCGCGTCATTAACTGGTGCATAGAACTTTGCGAAAAGCTAGCAAAAATTGGGAATAGGCACAAAACCTTTTCGCCATCACCGTAAAGGCGAATCTTCCCCTTTACCACTTCAATCACCAGTGCTATATTAAACTTGACTTCGCATTACGCTTAAGGAGTATTTAAGTAAATTTCTTAACCCCATATAAAATATATCTTTCTGTACACAGCAAATAATACGTATATCATATTGCGTGTATAAGTAGCTGTGATGGCGCAGTGCAAAGAGCTTATGCATATAATTATATATTATAATTTATGCACCTCTCTTTATTTTTAAAAAAGAGGAATGTTAAAAAAATGATTAACTGAATGAACGAAATTTTTTTAAGCAAAATAAAATTGCTTCCATTTTTATATTTAAGAAAACCAAATGTATACTTTTTTTTAATTTCATTTTTCTGTACAATTTCAATAAACAGGATTGAAAATTAGAGAAAAGTCCCATTTTATAATTTTACAAAACGAGATCAGTATGCAGATTCTTATAAACATCCCGCATGATGACTCCTTATGTATTGAGTCATCCCACGTTAGTAGCATAAAAAATGTGAAAAAGAAGATATCTGAGTTGAAAGGTTAGCAAAAAGGATATACATCGATCACAGCCGTTTTCTTTTTTTCTTCGTTCCCCCCGCTGTGTGGGTTCCCTACTTATAAAATGCTTAGTTTTTTGTGTCACATATTTATCTCTCTACGTTTCTCTTAAGAACTGAGCTCAGTTTTTATTTTGTGACTTGTGAAGATTGTATATGTGGTGTCATTTTTTCCTTCCGCTGTTTTTTCTGACCCGCATATGGAGTATGGGCCAGGCTCCTCGCAGTGATCCACTGCGAAGTGTACCACTCTGTACATATGTATCTTTACATATTAGCTCACACTTTTTTCTTCCAATCCAACAAAATTGTGTAGGCATCCCTTGTGATGTGCAAAAGTTGTTCAGAAATGGCCGCCAATTAGAAGACGAAGAGCTTATCGAACTTGACGAGGTTGAATATGTAAGTTGAAAAAGGGAAAGTAACAAAAATGGAGTAAAGTGTGTATCATCATTAAGCTATACTCGCCTTGTAGATGACGGTGTAATGAGTGTCGATTTGTCGCATTCGTGGTACATCGCCAAGTGAGAGGAATCCACCCAGTGTATATGTTAAGAGCCTCATGAAACTGTTTGCATATTTTTGCCCTTCCTTTGGTGACAATTACAAAGGAGTGTAAATAAGAAAGCGAAAAGTAGCAACTTATTTCGTAGCCTAGTGTACGAATGAGTGGAGGGGCAACTGCTACTTCGTTGTCGTTAATACATGTGTGTAACGCGTCGATGGCTACACGTCTCTGCTGTATTGTGTGGAGACATCTACGTGGTGCATTTTCCCAGAAATGATCCGCCACTGTAATGTAAAATTTTTATTTTTTATGATGATAAAACATGTCAAAAGCAAGTAGGGACATGAGAATATAAAATGTGTTCGCGTTTATAATATCTGAAAAAATAAAAATGTACATTATGTTTCTTATCCTGCTTTCTTTGTGGGCACCATTTGGTGTAGGACTGAGTGTCTGTATTTCGCTACTATTTCATATGGTGCTGCATCCAACTGTTTCTCTTGAGGGAGAGTCGATGCATGTTCCATTTTGAGTTATACAGAGGGTGGAACGTTGTGCACTTTCTTCCCATGATGTACCATTTCATGCTACTCAGATTAATCATTTGCGTGCCCTCCCCATTTATCACAATCGTCTTCAGGAGTACACCATAGACTTAACCTTCGGATTACTTGGTGGTGGCAAAAAAAAGAAAAAGAAAGTTTACAAGAAACCCAAAAAGGAGAAACATAAGAAGAAAAAGGTCAAATTAGCTGTACTTAAGTTTTACAAAGTTGGGGAAGATGGAAAAGTGTTCAGATTGAAAAAGCAGTGTGACAATTGTGCACCTGGCACCTTGATGGCTGCTCATTTTAATAGGGACTACTGTGGAAGATGCCACCTCACCATTATGAAAAAATAGACCAACTAATATATCGCATAAGCGTTGTTTAGAGGCGTTTTTTAAAAATGTTTTTTTTCTTTACCCTTTTCATTTTCCATTTCCTTTGTTCCTTTTTTTCCTTTTTGTTTTTTCTCTGCATATTTAAAGAACATACGGTGAAAGGCTAAGAATTATGAATTAAGAATGTTACAGTTTAATTAGTTAAAGAATGCACTGCGCATCTTCTCTGTCCGGTGTTGTGGAATTTGCAGGTGCTAATGGCCAGATCAAAGCAATGGCTTGTGGGCAATAGTGCCGGCGCGATTTGTGAAGGCTTAATATCCCAGGGCATGTGTATACATATCCGTCCCACTTGTGATGAAACATGTTAAAGGTATCAAACTGGACGGACTGCGTCCTATTTTATGTCAATATTAAGCCTTCGCCCCCCTTATCCACAAAGGGGGGGTTTGCATTAAAGCGTTCAAAGCGCGTATGAGTGGAATGTAGAAAGATAAAATAGCTCTCAAAAATGGTTAAAAATTTTAAAGTAAAAAATCTTCTCTTATGTGAAACATTTGACCATTCTCAATAAAGGACGGAAAAGCGATTTGTAATTTTTTACTTCCCCAATTTCAAGAAGGAGCAAAAACAAAAACTGATGAAAGGGTAAAAGATGCTCTTGCAAATGTATGATTAAAAAGGGAGGGAGGGAGATTTTTTTTTTTCTTTCTTTTTTTTTTTCCCCCATCAGGGATCGTAGAATGTTTGGAAATTCTGTGCCATTCGAATGTTTACAGGGTACTCAATCGCGTTTATGTTATATGTAAGGCTTGCCGTGAGAAATACTGGCGAAGTTCTGTCATATCATGCGAGCGACGTTTGATTTTGTTAAAAAGGAAAACACAAAAACGGGAATTTACGCGTTCCTTAAGAAAGGAAATTGCTTGTATATTTCCTATTTTCGTTTAACGTTATGATGTTTTTATTTAAAAAAAAAAAATAAATTGATGATAATAGCAGAGTTGTCCCTATTCATTTCGACAGGTAGTGATATCACGCAAGAGGAAATATTTTTGAAAACGTAATAAAACTGATTCACGTTTGATAATGACCAGAGTTTAAGAAACGGCGGAAGAAATGACTTCTTATCCAGCGTATACACAATATATATGGGACTCACAGAAATGGGCTATTCGAATAACCGTTGAGTCTGTGACGTTGATGAAACGATAAAGAGTACATTTTAATGGAATACCAACCGGGAGTCTGCATGCGAAAAGATGAACTAAATTGCGCCTCACGTAGTACAAATTTACTTACACGAGACCTATGTGAGCACTTGTGTAGATGCCCGTGGACGGCCCATACAATTATGCATACTTACTCATGCTCGTGCCAAGGGACGCCTAAATGACAGATTATTGGGTGAGTACGAAGAAGCATTACTGCGAAACATGCAACTGCTGGTTGTCTGGGCACAAAGTAAACATAAAGAATCATGAAAAGAGCGCCAGGCATATCGAAAATTTAAAGAAAGTGATTAGCGAATCGTTTAAGAGGAAGGAACAAGAAACGAAAGAGAAAGAGGTCCTCGAAAAGGAGTTAAAAAAATTAGAAAATGTGGAAAAGAAATTGCTGTCTGATTTGAATAAAAATGAGACATCCCTCCATCGAAGCGGCGACATCACTTTGAATGTTTCAAATGCGCATTCCAACAGCAGAATTGGTCATCGGAACAGCAGCAGCAATAATGAGCAAATTAGCACAAGTAGCATCGCCTGTAATAGTAATCCAGCTAGCCGCAAGAAGTGGCTTCTAATGATACATGAAGATACGGGTTCTTTAGTATTCTTCAATAGACTAAAAAACGAAATTGTGCATGACAAACCAAAGGATTTTTTCGAACATTTCCCCGAACATGAATCATTTGTGGAGCAAAGTGGATGGTACAAATACTTTGATTATAACTCTAGCAATTTCTACTACTTCAATATTTATAGTTCGAAAAGTGTATGGGAGTATTCACTCAGGAGGATAAAAAGCTTGATGGACTTTATCAATCGGTGTGAACAGGCTGCACAGAATAATATAAGTTCTGGTAGTGACACAGAAGTTGCAAGTCTGAGTATGAATGCCGGCCCCGTGGACAGTCCTCATCATTTCCATTTCGGTGGACCTCCATATTACGTGAATTACGCGCAAATGTTCCCCAAGCACAGTTACAATGGATATGCCACATACAATTCGTTAATGAATCCAATAGAGACCGCGTCGCAGATACCTCAAGATACAAAAGATGGGATGATTCAACAGCGCAGTAACAGCGGCGATCGTAATATTCCTGTTAGTGATGAGAGTCGTGTCAACAGTAGTATCCATCATGATATTTTACACAATGCATCTCCAGCAAGGTGGGCCAATCAGGTTGGTGGAGATGGAGCAAGACATGCAAAAGTAACGGACACCCAAGGGCGTGATAGAAGTCCAGGGGGAAGGAATGCAATGAAGGAAGGAAATCCAAAGGAGAAGACCCTCCCATGTGAAATGAGCGGAAACGAATTTAGAAACAGTCGTAAACATTTTGAAGACAAGAAAAAAAGGGCGAATATTTCTTTATCGTTTAAGGGGAAAGAGAGCGGAGCTACACCTCGGCATGGCAGGAATGAGGAGGAGAGAAAAAGTAACATGGGGGGAGATGACCAAATTGTGCAAAGAAGTACCGTACGACAGGACGAGAGTGCTAAACCTGGCCCATGGGAAGTCGTGGAGAATAAAGATGTAGAGACAATTTCAAATGAACATATTGAACAAATTTTTTACAATGTCAAATCGAAGGAGGAAATTGAAAAGGAAGAAATCGCACAGCTAGAGGAAGATATCCGTTATGAATATTCTGAATATAATGAATTTTATATAAAAAAAAAAGAATTAGAGAATGAAGAAATATATTTAAACCAAGAATTCAAATTCGTGGACAAACCTATATACAAGAAAGTGATTGATAAAAATCGTGACAAGAAGGTGGACTTTGCCAGACGCAGCATTAAGGGAATGAAGAATAAGAAAAAAATTTCATAGAGCAAGATAAGCGTGTGTGTGTGTGCGTCTTTGCGTCTGTGCGTGTGTTTGCGTCGGTCTCTGTGTCAATGTCTGTTTGTCTCTGTATGTATGGTGTTGTAACCCTCCAAAGGGGGATCACTTACTCTGCATTTTGAAAACTCTCCAAAAAGTTTACAATTTTTTTGCGAATTTGAATGTGCATATTGGTACAAAAATGTGTGTGTACAGATATGTCTATACCGTGTGGACTGTGGTGTTTTCTCTTAAAATATGCTTCTTTTCTTTTTTTGCCTTCAACCATGTTGGTAGTTTTACCACTAAAAGCGGCCCTTACGCAAAAGCGGGATTATTCTTCCACCCCTGTTTTTTTCTTATTTTTTTTTTGTTGTTATTTTTTGTTTATTAAAGCGGGAAATATAGGGTCTTTAAATTTTTTTTTTTAAATTGTACGTATGAATATACACATGTACAAATTTTTAGTAATGTCATAATAATTAAACATTTGAAAAAAGAAAAAAAGGATAAAATTATAAATGTTTCCCATGATTAGATCAGAAGGGATTGCAACAAGGGGTTGTACCCTCTTTGTAGCGGAATGTGCACACTTCGTGAAGCATAACAGAGAAAGCGGTTCTTCCTTTTAAAACGTTACACATAATCGGAAGATTGTTAGTGGGGGGTTGCGCTAGAACTTCATGCGTATATAGTAGTACAGGCACATAAACGTCTTAGGAAAGTGTTGCCCACGGAGCTGTGCTGAATTGTAATACCGTTAAACATAAAATGGGGCAAATTTCGCCAGAGTGCGGTACAAAGTTTGAGACTCAGTTCTTATGCCATTCGTGTGACGGCAAACGCTTTAACCAGTATACGACGCGCGGTTCGTAAATGTTGTGCAAAAAGGAAAAATTCAGAATATAAATGAAATCAATACATGTACATTTTTGAAAAATGAACATTATCTCTAAAAGCACTTGAAATAATTTTCTTACGTGCCCTTCAGAACTATGGCAGAAGAAAATACGCGTTAAACGTAAGTCAATTTCATGTACAAATCAGGGGAAAAATAAAGGAATGAAAAAAAAAAGAAAAGAAAATCGGATTTCATGTTGTATTAGATTGCTCATGCGTACTTAGAAATGTTGACCCTGATGGGGCAAATTTGAGAAGAGTAAGGGAGGGAAAGGCAAAATGCACTCATAAGGCCGCAAAGTGTCCCTCTAGCGTTTACGTTAAGCCATTATTCACAAATATGTACATAATGTATATAATGTACATTTGTTACGGTTGCTTCTTTACCCTTTTAACAACGCTCTAGATAGTTAAGCAGGAGTAGTGGCTCACAGTATGCAGTTATTGTACTTTTATGACCTGGGCTCTGCTACATATCAGAAATATTGGTAATTTTTCAAAGCTCCTTTTTTTCCGGGGCCACACATAGAATTCGCGACCATTCATCAAATCGGCCCATTTTCATCATTTCCCTGTACACATCGGTTTAGTGCTTCCCCGTAGGGCGAAGCCAGGTTAGGAAGTGTGGGTGGCAGAGAAAGTTGCGAAGACGATCGGCAAAGTGGCAGCACACATACCGTTTCGCATATCGCCTTACATACGTCTTCGCATATCGCTCTACATACCTCTTCGCATATCGCGTTACATACGTGTTCGCGCACCGCAATTCAATTACCCGCCTTTTCCCGACAAAATGGAAGGCTTCGAAGAGATCGAGAATGCATACAACGAGATAGAGGACGAGATAATTAAGACGGTGGAGGGGCTATGCGGAGGCAATTACCTCCAAATCAAGGATGAAGTGATTATGCCACACATGAGTGAAAGTCTGATCAAGAAAATTATCCTGTTGAACAGACACATCAACGATAACAGCAACGAAGAGGAATTCGAGAAGAGGGTGACGAACGAAAAAGTGATGCAGATAAATGACAAGTTAATATATCTAGTATGCGATTACTACATCAACAAAAAGGAGATTGACAATTTAATTAACTTTACGTCCAGCAATGAGAACTATTTTAATGTGTTACCTCAAGCGAAAACAGCCAAGTTGATAAGAAACATCGTGGAAAAAATATCAAAAAAGATCAGGAATGTCAGTACGCTGTATATAATATTTAAGAAGTACATGAATTGGGCATATGAGAAGAAAAGGAATTTTTTAAGATGCCGAATAGAAGTAAAAATAATCATTTTGTTTATCCTAAAGCAAAAGTATAAAACGGCTCTAAGTTTAATCGAACGGTTGCTGAAGGAGGTGAGGAAGGTGGACGACAAGACGTTGTTACTCGAATTGTACATTGTGGAAACCAAAATTTACATGTTGCTAAAAAATTCCACCAAAATGAAAGCATCGCTCACCTTTGCCAAGAACATTGCCAATACGATAAACACGGCCATTTATATTAATAGTGAAATAGATTTGTTGTCTGGAATATTATTCATATATGAGAAGGATTACAGAAGTGCGTACATTTACTTGTATGAATGCTACGAAACGTTGTACACTTATATTTATAATAGCCACAACAACACGTTGGACTTTCTGAGCAAAAAGAATAACGACTTTTACGCAGTTATTATACATAACATAATTAACACGAGCACGATATCGTCGCAAAATAAGACGAAAAGTATAAGTCAAATTAGCCCGTTCTTACTCTCGTTCTACACGTTCTATGAGTACTACGATAGCAGAAAAAGCATCCTAAATTTGGACGAAATGAATGTTTGTTCAGGTAATGCCAGCTTAATATACAGCGATGTGATATGTACTATCAGCTCAAGTTACCAAGAATTCGAGGAAGAAAAGGTGTATTGCATTACGAATCCAATTGAGTTAAATTATGAAATGATTAAAAATTTGACATTGGATAATTATGGAAATTTATTAGAAGCCAAATCAGGTAGAAACACTGTGGATAACTCTATTTTTATCTTTCCCGAAGATAGTTCCATATGTGGGAATTTCGGCTTGAATTTAAATATCGAAAATTTAAAAATTATCGTCCCATTGAAGTACATGCTTCTGTGCAAAATCTTGGAGGAAAACAACAGGAAAGACATCAATAATATCTTATGTGAACATAATAAATTGAATTACATTCCAAATAAGGAAATTCAAATTCTGCTGGACATATCCAAGTCTTACGAGAACCGATCACTTGATGTGTTTGAGAATATAATTAAAATTAATATTTTCTTGATAAATGTGGACAAAGTGATTTACAACTACTTGAAGGAGCTGTACGAGCTGCTTCTGGAAAAGAATATTTTAAAAATTATCGAAGCATATAGCTGCATCGACTTGAACTATATCGGCCAGAAACTTAACCTAGACTTGAACAAAATTATTTCCAAGCTGTCCGAAATGATCCTGGACAAGAAGCTGAATGCCACGCTAGACCAGAACGTCGGAATTTTGATTCTCTATGACGACATGCCCGAGACGAAGATGTACCAGAACGTTCTGGAAATCATAAACAACTTGACGGAGTCGGTGGATATACTTTACCAGAAGGCGCAGCTGACGGTTTAGAGGTGTAGTGGTGTAACGGTGCTGCAGTATTGCGGAAGTTCGCTGTACTGCCCCAGGAACACCCACTTTCTAACCGAGATGACCGAGTTGCATAAAACGGGAGACCCCCGTTTGTAGAAGAACCGTACACCCATAAAGAGGACTCATAGCTGCGGTTACCATTTTGGAAAGATCGATTTTTTAAGACAGATGTGCGCATTACTGCGCAGGTATGCACCGTATATGGTATTAAGAATTTTTTGCCTCTTTCCCATGTGCAGTGTGTAGACATATTTGTCCTGCCGCACCTTTTTGCAATTTTTAAAAATTTTCTGCAGTGTCTTACATTTCTCTACTCCATACTAAAAGAGAAAAAATTGTAAAATATGCACGAGCACAGGAGAGTCAGGAACTGGTGAAATAACAGTGAATAAAAAAAGAAAAAAACAAAATAAAATTGTAAAATATGCACGAGCACAGGAGAGTCAGGAACTGGTGAAATAACAGTGAATAAAAAAAGAAAAAAACAAAATAAAATTGTAAAATATGCACGAGCACAGGAGAGTCAGGAACTGGTGAAATAACAGTGAATAAAAAAAGAAAAAAACAAAATAAAATTGTAAAATATGCACGAGCACAGGAGAGTCAGGAACTGGTGAAATAACAGTGAATAAAAAAAGAAAAAAACAAAATAAAATTGTAAAATATGCACGAGCACAGGAGAGTCAGGAACTGGTGAAATAACAGTGAATAAAAAAAGAAAAAAACAAAATAAAATTGTAAAATATGCACGAGCACAGGAGAGTCAGGAACTGGTGAAATAACAGTGAATAAAAAAAGAAAAAAACAAAATAAAATTGTAAAATATGCACGAGCACAGGAGAGTCAGGAACTGGTGAAATAACAGTGAATAAAAAAAGAAAAAAACAAAATAAAATTGTAAAATATGCACGAGCACAGGAGAGTCAGGAACTGGTGAAATAACAGTGAATAAAAAAAGAAAAAAACAAAATAAAATTGTAAAATATGCACGAGCACAGGAGAGTCAGGAACTGGTGAAATAACAGTGAATAAAAAAAGAAAAAAACAAAATAAAATTGTAAAATATGCACGAGCACAGGAGAGTCAGGAACTGGTGAAATAACAGTGAATAAAAAAAGAAAAAAACAAAATAAAATTGTAAAATATGCACGAGCACAGGAGAGTCAGGAACTGGTGAAATAACAGTGAATAAAAAAAGAAAAAAACAAAATAAAATTGTAAAATATGCACGAGCACAGGAGAGTCAGGAACTGGTGAAATAACAGTGAATAAAAAAAGAAAAAAACAAAATAAAATTGTAAAATATGCACGAGCACAGGAGAGTCAGGAACTGGTGAAATAACAGTGAATAAAAAAAGAAAAAAACAAAATAAAATTGTAAAATATGCACGAGCACAGGAGAGTCAGGAACTGGTGAAATAACAGTGAATAAAAAAAGAAAAAAACAAAATAAAATTGTAAAATATGCACGAGCACAGGAGAGTCAGGAACTGGTGAAATAACAGTGAATAAAAAAAGAAAAAAACAAAATAAAATTGTAAAATATGCACGAGCACAGGAGAGTCAGGAACTGGTGAAATAACAGTGAATAAAAAAAGAAAAAAACAAAATAAAATTGTAAAATATGCACGAGCACAGGAGAGTCAGGAACTGGTGAAATAACAGTGAATAAAAAAAGAAAAAAACAAAATAAAATTGTAAAATATGCACGAGCACAGGAGAGTCAGGAACTGGTGAAATAACAGTGAATAAAAAAAGAAAAAAACAAAATAAAATTGTAAAATATGCACGAGCACAGGAGAGTCAGGAACTGGTGAAATAACAGTGAATAAAAAAAGAAAAAAACAAAATAAAATTGTAAAATATGCACGAGCACAGGAGAGTCAGGAACTGGTGAAATAACAGTGAATAAAAAAAGAAAAAAACAAAATAAAATTGTAAAATATGCACGAGCACAGGAGAGTCAGGAACTGGTGAAATAACAGTGAATAAAAAAAGAAAAAAACAAAATAAAATTGTAAAATATGCACGAGCACAGGAGAGTCAGGAACTGGTGAAATAACAGTGAATAAAAAAAAGAAAAAAATAAAATAAAATAGTAATATATGTGTGCAGGAAAAAAATCCAATCGAAGAGTACGCTGCTAGGCGCAAGGTTTGTGTGTGGGGAGAGAGGGGTACTACTCCAGGAACCAAAACATGGGTCCTTCTCCCTTGGATCCATCTGTTCTTTGTGGCATCCAAGGGAACGAAGTGGACTTGTTCTTTATTATGTAATTAGTTCCGTACATGCACATGGTGCAGTAAAATAAAACGAAGGACCATAAAAACCAGACAATTGATACCTCCACTTTGTTTGCATCTTTGAGGTGTTCCGCGTCTGGGACGATTCTCTGTGGGTGTTTCTGTTTTAACCTGTTAAACAAAATTAATCGAAAGACATCCGTTCGTTCAGGGCCGTGAAAGCCACTTCCTCTCATCTTACTCCTTTCTGAAATACTGGAGTTTAAATCATTCATTGTTATTATTTTGCCATGATAGGAACCATTTAGGTATGTAAACATATCATCCAGACTTTTAGGGGCAAGTGGACTGATCACTTTGGTTTTTTCCACTGGTTTTATAATATCCAACAAATTCGATGGTGCGATATATTTCCACTGGTTGTAGTCATGCCATTTTCCCAAGTAAATGTGATTTCCTGCTAGGTTCCTTCTGGTTATGTTGAAAAGGCCCGACGCCATTTTGGTCTACTGGGGCAGTTGTTTCAGAGTGTGTTTCTGGTTCATGGGGTAGCGTAACAGGAGTGGTTATTCTCGTGATGCGCTCTTCTTGCCCTTTGAAGTACCTCCTTGGGGAGTCTTTCACTCCCTTTTTGTAACTATTCTGACGGTTCCGGTTTGCTTTTTTATAAGTCTTCGGTAGCTATGTTGACGTATTACGCTCGATGGCGCTGGTTGGGGAGGCTTTTTACCTTTTCGCAAGCATTTACGGAGGCTTAGGTCGTCTCTCACCCGCACACATATTTTTCCGTTAGAAATGTGTTTGCTTGCCTCGTATAATGCCTAAATAAGCGGGTCAGGAAGAGTGGCTGGGGAAGAGAGAGTTAGCTCTTAGCCATGTGCCTCAAGATGGAAAGATTAGAAGCGGAGGTTAATATAAATAAGTACATATGTATGCAGGATGCATGTATGCATGTTGGTACGTGGGTTGGATCTCTATCGCGCGAAGTGCTGACGGGCAAAACTTCCTCCTGTGCAATACTATTTTTAAACGGTCACTTTTCAGAGGCGCTCTTAAATTGGAAAAAACGGGTAATTATTTCCAGTTAGTACGCAAAAACGAAGAAAATAAAATGCACAAGTAAAAAACGTTTAAAGAGAATTTTTTTTTTTAACAATTCCCCAGCGTGCTCAGCGTGCTGGCAATAACTGCAGCCTTTCTTATCACCACATTTCCATCAGTTGTGCAGGAGGAAAAAGGAACAATTAAAAATAGTTTGCTGGAGGACTTCGATACACTGGAAAAATTTCACCGCGGGGATGTATGTGCGTAGCATTTTGTTTCTATGCCTTCATTGAGTTCATTACTTCGAAGAAATTATTTTCCCTGCGCGGAGTGCTACCTTCTTTTGATGTGGAAAATGTGTAGTTTGAGTTTTTCAAAAGTGTCAGTTGTGTCATTGTGTTAAAAGAACAGTTAATAAGTGGGTACCAAATAGTACGGGAACAGGTTGATTATTTTGCTGAGTTGCCCACATGTACATGTATGAGCGGAATCACACTGCTATGCACGGCGCAGAACTTTCTGGATAATGCGCCATTTTATCATAGTTAACCGTGCGTATATCCTTTCAATTTTTTTGTTTCCAATTCTGACCTCTTTTTACACAACGATTTTCGATAGGATCAGCGGCACACAAAGGACGGGGTGTGTGTGGTAAAGCGTCACTCCACGATCACATGCAATATTCTGATTTGGAAATCCCTTTAAAGGGAACAAAATAACGATTTGGTTATATTCACCTTGTAAACATGGTTAAAGTTGCGCTGCGTTTTTCATTATCACAGTGTTACTATAAAGTGGTGATAGTGCGGGAGGTAGTGAACCAAATTATGTGTCGCTTTAAGTGAAACCTTTTCCCCAAAGGGGCCAAGACTCCATACAGAATTGTGGTGTATTTCAAATTGAAGTAAAAGTATTTTCAAAAAAAAAAGAAGAAAAAAAAAAAGAACGAATTAACAAAAACTGGAATGAGAAACAGATAGCATTGGGGTGGGATAAAAATGACTTAACGAATTATTGTTTGTGGAAGGTGTAGAAATTAAACCGCTTGGGGATATCCACAATGGACAGATAGAAATGGAAATTAAAATGGACTTTTTTTTCCCTTTTTTTACGCGCCTCCATTATGGGGAGTAAATTGGGACATGGCCACACACAAAAGAGTGAAAATTGGCCAATGTGTAAAGGGAAGAAGAATGCCAACGTTGTAGTTGCCTCTAGGGGGATAACACCGACGTATGCACACCAAATCGAGTGGAATATCCCCTACTGGACATTTAAATCATACGTAAAACTTGATACATCTAAGTTTAATATATTAACGAAAGTGTCATGCCCAAAGAAGTGTTTCAAGTTTGGAAAAGTTCTTCCTCTGTCTCCATTAACGAACTCTTTTATATACATCCCTGATTGCGCCAATAAATATAATAGAGAAAAATGTTCATGAACAAGGACGAGATTGAATTCAAAAATTTTCCTTTCCCGTTTTAGTAGACTCCTTCTATGGAGTACCCTTATTGGAGTTTTCTGTATTACGCTAAGTACACAAATGTCGTTTTTATCATAACTTAAAACGTCCTGATTTATTTTTTGTATTTTTTCTTTAGTCATTGAGGAGGAGTGGTATATAATGCATTTATAGGACTTTTTTCTCTCTTCACCATACTTCATAATTTTTTTTATCAAGGCATAATTTGTGCTAAAAGCAACGTTGCTGAATTTTACGTCCACAAGGATGTCGATATTATAGTCTCGATTGGCATTCTGTGTAATGTTTTTCTTTATGATGCCCGAATTCGTCGCTCCGTTTGGGGGCACACATCCATTAAGATGGTCGCAATTGCCGTTTTCGGAGTCTTGCCTGGCATCATTTAGGTGAATAGGATCTTTTTTCGCAATTGGGTCAAAAATTCCCAGTTCCTTCTCCCCGATGTACTCACCGGATAGCAGGACTTCCAGCTCCTTATTGTAGTTACGCGAAAGGTTCAAGTTGTGTATCTTCTGCTCCTGCACCGTCTTATCCTTTTCTTGTTCTGCAAGAACTTTATGGGAATCTAAATCGTACAATGAAATGGTGTCTTCTTTCTTTATCAGTGCATAGCTGTCGTTAATTCTCTGCGGGGGGTAATTTCCCTCGTTCAATATGGACACGCTGTCTTTTACAGAATTGTTATCTGCACAGTTTGCCTGTTGAAGAAACAGATTTATCTGATCTATTGTCTTAATTTCGAGGGAGTTCCCACTAGCAATGTCAGTTAATTCCATCCTTCTTAACTTACTAAAAAAAAGATAAAAATTTAGGAAGGAGAATTTAGTTTCTTTCAGGACAAAGACGAAGGGTCTTCCTATGTTCATCATTCGCACATCTTTGTCTTCCCTTCCGGACGCCATAAACACCTCATTAGTCGATCGGAATGTTCTTTTAAAAATGTGATAAATGCATTCTTCCACTGACAATGCACTTTGGGATTCATTATTTATGAACCACTTGGTTTGTGACATCTCTCTGTTATATTTATTGTAGTAGCCACATACGCATAAGTTGTTAAGCGATATGTATACGTCCAAGGTTGGAAGTGGGGGGTTGGAGTCTAATTCCCTATTTCTCCCTTCAGCGTTTGTAACTCTTTCTGTGTGGGCTGATTCCCTATCTTCCCCTTCATCGGACCCACTTGTGACATTCATTTTTTTTTCTACCTCTTCACTTTCTTCCTCATTTTTTGCAAAATCGTCATTATTGTCCTTGTGCAATGTTGCAGTTTCTTTATCGCCACCACTGTCATTTCTTACTTTCCTTTTCTTATTGTAAAGGCCATATTTTCTCCTGTTATTTTTATGTGTTGTTTCAGAGGACTCATTGCTTTTTACCGTTTGGTGTTCACCTGTATCAGCATTAAAAATTAACACTGCGTGTTTGTACAAGTTGATGACGAATTCAGTTTGGGCCACATTTAGGCACAGACTATCAAATATCTTAAGGTAAAATGTTAGGTAAAAATAAATCAAAAAATATGCAAACGTCTTTCCGATTTGTTTATTCGAAATATGATTGCTTGTTTTTTTGGGAGGTATTAAAATGTACTTTTCTATACGTTGAAAATTGTGGTGAAATGTGTCATGGGTAACATTTTCTTCTTCGCAAAAAATTTGCTTCGTTTTATGTAGGTAGAGGAAAAAAAAAACTATATCAATATTGTTCAGAAGTCGAAGTATATTTTTTATGTTATTAAATACACTGTTCATATTTTTTTCCTCTTGTGCGGTGATAGGGGAATTTTCCTTTAAGACTTCATGATGGAAACAACTATTTTTATTGTAAAAAAGGATCAAATCGATGTTGTGTAGCCCGTTGCACATTTTGCATAGGTATAAATTCGTGTACACCCTCTTATACACATTTTGCAGTTCTCCTTCTTTCGTGTTCTTACGCTGATCCGCTAGATATTCTGAAAACCATTTCTTATCATTTTCTAGAAAGATCTTACTATTTCGGTTTCTTTTCACGTCTGGTGTGGCGTGGTTAAAATGGTTTAAGAAATATCCGTCGAAAAATAGGTAAGCATCATCGCTTAGGTATTTTGCAGCTATGGAACACCGATAGCAGATATTTTCCATTATTTTGTTTTGCACAATGGGATGGATGAGCAGGAAGCGGCGCGAACAATTTAGATTATTGTGCGTGCGAGGAAGATTTTTTAGAAATTATTGCACAAGTTGGAAGTGGTCATAATTGGGATCGCTCGCAAAAAGGAGGAAAGAAAAAAGAAAAAAAAAGATTTACATTCGCGCAGGTATATACATGCATACATACACCTCCGTGCGCACGTGCCTCTGCACTTAGGTAAAATTCTGTTCTTTCATTTTTGCGAGATGAAGAAACTGCCGCGGAAGACTCTCATGGGCAAAGGTGTACGTCAGAATCTTTCTTTGTCATAGCAGCTTCTACATCTTTTAATAATGTTAACTTCTTAGTCGCTTTTAAGCCGCTAAGTTTAAAAGAATCGAAGGCCAAGAAGAAAAGGGAAGCGCAAATTGTTTTGTGTCATCTATATATGTATATACAATAATAATATATAGGTCATTTTGTGAACAAAAAGTGACCTTATGGGGAGAAATACAACTTCTGTTAAAAATGATAAAAGGACCAAATTGTAAGTTTTTATCCATACAGCTTGAGTGCGATAAAGAAAAAAAAAGAAAAAACATGAAATAGTGGGCAAAAAAATAAATCGTGTTGTGTTCAGCACATGGCGGTATTGAGAAATCTTATTTTTAAATTTACGTGTACAGCACTAGTTATGTATTTTTTTAATTTTCTGTAAGTATTTTATTCAAATTTTTTTTCCTTTTTTCACTTTATCTGCATTTATCTCGATTTTCTCACGAATTGTGCTTCACTTTTTGATTCCTGCTGATTCAGTATATATTTTTTTATTTCACTTCTTCAAATGTGTACATATATAAGGTATGGTTTCACATGAGTACAATCACGCATTTGCATACATGTGAATAAATATCTTTACACATGCATTAGCATTTCAAGATTTTCTTCAGATGGTGTTTAATGTACATTTCTGATTATGCGTTTTGATTTGAAAGCAACCCCAAAATATTTTTCTCGGTACATTTGATTTCTGTACTATGCGATTTTTACTTGCTTTTACTTTAACCCCCAAAAGGAAGGTGTTACAGCTTTTTTCTTTTTTTTTTTAAACCTACCTTGGTGTTTATAAAAGAATTTCGTCGCTGTAGGAAGTAGCATACATTTATACCCCTATGTTAATATACGTATCTTTTTTTTATCAATTTTGTTAAAGCGCAGAAAATAAGCTCAGTGTTGTGCCAAAGAGAAAAGTAGCAAGAGGAATATCAGCAATCGGAATTTTTCTTCTGCCATATAAAATACACGGTGGAGGTACATACATAATCGCGTATCCCCGAAATTGCAAAGAGTTTCATGTAAATTTTCATCATAATGATACACAACAATGAGTTGAATTGGAATCATTTCGATTTATTTTCTTATGAGGATCCTGAATTATGCGGGGAGGAAGATTTATTTCAGTCTAACCAGGCACCCTGGTTCTATCACCTCACATACTGTAAAAGAAAACAGAAAAAAAAAAAGAGAAACAGAAACAGAAAGAGAAGGAGAAAGAGATGAGAATAACTAAAATTTGAAAAAAAAAAAAATTTGTATGATGTGCATATAAATCTATGCAATGTGTGCATAAATGTATGGCTATATAAACCCCTGCAGAATAAGAAATCTCGTTGTAAAAATGCGTCATGTGTTATTTTTGAAGTATGTTAAGGGGGAGCAACAGCACCATTTCCTCGTGTTGGCAGGTGTATTAGGACATGGCAAAATGAGCGAAATTTTCTCCCGTTTTACTTTCTTTTATTTTGCCCATATTTAGAATTCTTTTCCTCTTCCCATATTTTTCTGTTGACACCTTCTACAGTGCTAGAATTGAGCAAAGAGGACTTCAAAAATATAAAAAGCATCGTGGAAAATGAGAAAAAGAGAGGAGTCGAGTACAGTCATATATTAGACACCATAGACTACCAAACTTATAGTGACATCATGCGGAAAATAAATTCCAACATGAGAAATGCCTTATCTGTTTACTTATTTTCGTGCAAATATTTTTTAAGTAAGTTCTCCAAGAACACGGAATCCAACGGGCACGTGCATTTTGTGTTTGTATTTGGGAACATCACGGCAGATATGGTAAGAAAAATAGGGAAGGAACCAGAGAAGTTCACGGATAAATACTCCTGTTCGCCGGTTTTACGAGCATTTATGGAGTTATTTTTTCACGTGTCATTTTTTTTTCTACAGGATTCCGTTTGTTCGTCCATCATATATAGTTTTTTTTTGCACATATGGTATTACCTAAAAGGGAAAACTGCCAAAGAGAAGAATTCAGATGTGCTGAAATTTTTTATCCCCGTAATTAACATTAAGAGGAGTGACATGAAGCTTAAAATTTTGGTAAAATGAGCCGTAGATCATACGCAGACGCGTGGAATTATATCCGGGAGTGCACATTTCTACGTTGAGAATTGTGACTTTTTTTTTTCTTATTTTACAGAGTTCAAATTTGAGGGAGCACAGCAACTATCTATAATGTAATCCTTTTTTTTTTTTTTTTAGGTCAATTGGTGGCTAGAGAAATGTGAAATAAACAACCCAGAGGAAATCCTAGTTTTTAATGATGACAAGAATTTGCTAGAAGTAAGACGTATAGTAGAATGGAGCAATGTTTAAAGGGTGTTTTTTTTTTCCGCCCTATTAAAGCATTAGCATCCTGTATGATTATTTCGTTTTGCCTCTTCAGTTACGTGCAATTTTGGATCTCTTTCTTCTTTGCAGGTTTTAAAAAACGACAAGAAGTACGACATATGCTTCGTTGACTTTAATGACTTCGAGCCGAATAAGATATAGTAAGTTGCGTGAGGGGGAATTTCCCTTCGTTTAATTTCTCACTTGGTAGTGTGCAGAGTAGACCTGCCAAGATGTAGCAAAATACCTCCTTGTATAGGCATAAGAAAAATGTCCATACGTCCATTTGGAAGTGTCACATTGACGAAGAAATCGATTTCGCCATTCCCCTTTTCAGCAACATAAACAACGTGAAATCCATAATTGATCACCATATGCTTAAGGATGAGGCGAAAAATAAAAGAATAACAAAATCGATTTACCCCATCTATGTGTGCAGTTGCATGGTTATCATAGCCTATTTCGTAAGTTGAGAAGGCGCAAAAAATGCGCATATAAACGGAATGAAGTGAAAGGAACCATATTTACTCATTGCGGAAATTTTTCTCTTCACTTCAGTATAAGCATTCAAGCGAATTTCTTGGGATACCTTTCATTAACAAAAATATGATGTGGCTGATATATGGGACTATACTAAGGGGTTATTTAAAAAAATTGCAAAATGTGATTTCGTTTGCGCGTGAATTGGGTTTTATGCGCAACGTTCTTTTACAGCTATTCACTACATATTCAGATCGCAAGAGAGTCCATATTTATGTTCATACAAATGAATATAAATGTGCATCCTTCTTTTTTCTTTTTTTTTCTGGCTCCCTTGTAGATTCGAACAATTTCGCAAAAGGTGAATTTGGAAAACGATGGATACAAGCGTAATTCATAAGAAACGTGAAATGAACAATACAAAGGAGCTTTGTAGAATTTATTTTGTTGTAGCATCATGTGACAGATGGTTACGAGGGATAAGGTTTTACACTTCGTGAAATTATTCATTCTTTTTTTCTTTTTTTTCTTTTTTTTTTTATTTCCGTTCTTAGGGACTTAAGCATTTTCTTATCGTTGAAAAGATTTTTTCGTATATCAGACAAAATGGACATATACATTACATACAGTTTTAACATTATGAGATTTTCCATAGACTTAAAAAAATTTGTAAGTTGCAGAAAAGATGGGAAGCCAGAAATTACAAAATGAGACCTAGTTATGAAAAACACTCTCTGTTCACCCATCTTGGATAAAACTAGAACAAAATGAAAATGAAAAGAGCGACATGTGAAGAAAACACCATTTTCTTAAGATAAACATTTCTAAATGTGAATGTATGGGCCTTCTTTTTTTTTTTTTTGCTATATCTCCTTTCAGGGAATAGAAAACCTTTTGTTTGCCGATTACAAAGACTATAATTATGAGATTTTAAAGAAAAAAATAAAAGTAAAAAGAAAAAAAAAAAAAATGAGGATTCCCCATGTGAGATGTTGAGAATGTTTTACTCCCCGTTGCAAATTTGTACAATTCTTCCATTTTATTTTTTTGTTCTTTGTTTTTTCTTTCAGATGAGAATTGCATCAATAGATTTTAGTATAGATCTGCTATTTTCCAATGAGGATGTTAACCTTTTGGTTCATAAATTAGTAAGCGTTCAGGAGAATAAGCAGGAGAGAAATAATGGCCCCCGAGTTTATAGTACTACATGTGGCTAAGCGCGTTTGCACATATGGACATGTGGGTCACTTTGTTGCCATTAACAAACATAATTTTGTTACCCTTCTCCTTTCTTTTAGCATGAATTGTGCGCTGAAAACAACTTTTCCATTTTTATCTTAATCGGATCCTATTTAAATAATTATAGTAATACAGAGAATGTGGAAAAGATTGAAATGGGTATAAAGCGAGGGTAAAATGTTCATTTTTATATATTTCTGTGTGTGTGTGTGGCTCCTTTTCGTAGGACTATTTAAAGACATGGGAATCTTCTTTTATGACAATGACGTGAACAAGGATGGTAATCCACGAAGAGGAAACTACCTTTAGTCATTTTTCTATCTGTTCGTTCATAATGACAGCTATCATAAATTTGTATTGGCTTTTCTCCTATTTTGCTCTTTTAAGATTTAATTAACGCCCTGTTTTTGAACAAAGACATAAAACTTTCCAAGAAGGGATGTAAAAATATAACCTGGGGAAATGATTCGAAAATATTTGACACCTTCCAAATTGTAATTACACCTTTTTTTTCCCTCCTATTGGATTTGATATGTGTCCTCTTAACCATGACCACTATTTTCCTTTGCTTATTTTTTTTATTTCATTTTTTTTTTTTTTATTCCCCCATTTGCAGAACAATCAGTGCTACTCCCGAAAGAGATTAGAGTATTTTTTATCTGAATATTTTTTCTCACATGGCTAAAAGATTCCTTTCTTTTTTTTGTATATTTTTTATTAATACCTACATCTACTGCTGCACAATTTTTAGTTTATACCTTTAGCTTTTCTTCTGCATAAGGCGGAAGCTGCCATAGGTGAAAGAGAACCTGAGAAAGATAGGAAAAAAAATAAAAAAACGTTTATTGATTCCGATGAGAGCGCGAAAGATATATTTTTTTTTTCACTTTTTTTTTTTTTTTTAAACAATTTTTTACCTTTCTCCTTAAATGTGACAAGGGTGAATTTCCTTTTTAAAGTAACAATATACAGAATTTACGAAAGGGGGAAAAGACAGTCATCGCTAGAAGTGCCAGCAAAAATCCGTAAAAATTAGAAAATATATGCTTAGATAATTGTATGAGCATAGGGAAAAAGAGAAAGAAAATTTTTAACCACGTGCACGCGCGTAGATGTGGACATGTATAAATAGGCCTATATAAATATTCCTGTAGCAGGAAAGGGGCAAATGCACCGTCGAGGGTAGACTGCCATTGTAAAGTAAAAAATAATCTTTAAAAAGATAAATAATTTCTGTAAAGAAGAATCCTTTCCCGCCTCCCCGATGTTATAACACATGGATACAACTATCTCAAACGTGGACATCCCTAATGACATTCCAAAAAAAAAGGACAAGCAGGAAGTTCCTGCTTCGGAATGCACACAAAATGGAATTTTAGAAAAATACGATATTTTCTCAAATGTGTACACCTCAAGCGATAACCTCAGTTTTGTAGATAGCGAGGAGGATACCTCATCCAAAAATTTAGGTCTCTTGGAATTTTTTCTCCTCAATTACACTATAATCAGAAAACTTCTATTCGTTAAACCAAGGCTCTTTGCTTTTAGATGTCCATTTAGCATGACAATTTTTTCCCCCCCATTTTGATTTTAACACCTGCGTGCAGATGACCTGAAAAACAGAAATATTTTGAACCTAACTGTCCACAACATCATAAATATATACCCCAACAATGAGAGGAACAGGGAGTTTAAGAAGTACAAGGTTATCGAACATTTTTAAACGCCCCTTTTTTTGCGCGGTCGTAGGGGGATATGCAAGTATATATATAATTATATATAAATATATATATAAATGTGTAGTGGAGCCTGTGCGGGAGGGGCCAGTGCACAACTGTGAGAAACCCCCATTCACTCTTACCTGCAGCAAAAGAAAATAGAGGAAAAAAGGAAGAAGGAGTACGATGAAGAAAGAGTGATTATCGAACAAAAGAAAAGGATATATGAAGAGAAAAGACAGAAAAAACTGCACATATATAACGTAGAGAAAAAGAAAAAGAAACTAATAGAAAAGGAAAAATATAATAAGGAAAATATAGAGTATAATTATTTAATGATCTCAAAGCATTTTGAATATTTAATGGAAAATGGGAAACACAGTGACATTTACTTTTCCTTTCACGATATGTACATTTCCCCCCTGAGGTTGTACTACTTTGCCAGTACAAGTGTGGATCAAATTTATTATTTAGGTAAATACGCAAGGGGGTAGACAAAGACGGAAAAGTCTCTTCAAAAATGGGTGCAATGGGTATACATATATGTTTGTTTCTAGGTATATCTGTCTGCACATGTGTTTCTTGTGTACTACCTAGAACTGCCCTCCCCCCTTTTTCTGTCCGCATTTTTAATGTGCGCGTCAGATTTATCACGAAAGTGGCTTCCAGACAACTATGTCTCTATCATACTTGAATTGTGCTCACGCAAAAGGGTTAAAATTTTGAATTTGTCCTTTAACAAAATAACTTTCAAGGGGGTGGCACATTTCACCAAGTTTTTATCGGTAACGTGCGAGAGGCAAAAAGAAAAAAAAAAAACAATATATAAAATAAAATAAAACGACTCACGATGTATAGCTTATAATGATGCACTGAGAAGGAGGTAAATAAAGACTACTCCTAAAGGGACAACGAGATCAGTAACGCATCATCTCTTCAAACTACTAATTTGTAGGAGAACAAAGCGCTGTTTTGTCTTAACCTGGAAAATAACGACTTAACAAACAAAGGTCAAGATGCCGATGAGCTAAATAAACTTTTCGAGTCCATAAAAAATAATAAAGGAATAAAAATATTGAATTTGGCTAATACAAATATGGACAAGGTAGCCCTTCTGCGTCTCCCAAAAAAGATGATGAATTTTTCTCACCAACGTTACGTTACTGTACTAATTTATATGGGAAAAACCTTTCTTAACGTTTCAGAGAAATGGAGAGAGTTTGTGCGAAATGCTAGAGGCGAACAATTCCATAATCGAAATGAACTTTGAGAATAGCAGTTTTAGTAAGTTTTAGCATTGTTGATTGTCTGCTGGTTAGGTGAATGAACGTAGAAGCACTTGCCTTTTGTTGATCTTCGTCTGTCCCATTTCCCTCCGTTTCGCTCCATATGGTGCCTTCTCTCTTCTCAGCGAGGGAGCAAAAGCGCCAAATAATTAACTTCCTAATACGGAATAGAAACATATGGCTAAAACAAGCCGAGATAGAAAAAGAAGAAAATGATAAAATGGAAAAGGAGGAGAGCTACATGCACGCGTACCTTATGTCCGTCGAATCGTCCATGTAATAATTGAAATAAGGGAAAACTAAAAAGGGAGAGGAGTAGTGCATCTTTTCTTGTCTACATATATACACATGCCTGCGGAGAATATCATTGTTCCTACTTAAAACGGTTCCATTAAATTCGTTTCACATTAACAAAATTGCTCATTTGTTACTTCTTATCTGTACGTTTGTCCATTTTACAACACCTTTTACCATTTCACCCTTTTAGAATTGAAATTGAAAATAGAGAAAACCGAAGAAACTTGAATAAAATGGTAAAGAGAAGCGGAAACAGTTGAAGGGAGAAAGCACCGAACAATTCGTTGCATTCATGTTTTGTTTTTACCTACCCCTCTATGTGCACACACATATTTGCGTAATTCAAAAAAAAATACAGATATACATTAATATGTGGAGAGAAGAAATAAAAAAGAAGGAGCTGAAGGAAGAAGCAATTCTTGAAACGCTGGAGAAGGTACTGCTGTTCATTTTTCTGGCTACTTTTTAACAACATAGGAGAAGTCTCGCTAAGGCATCTGTGTGTAGTTGTATATGCACATATATTCGGGTTGCTAATAATTGCTTCTCTTTCTTTGCACATAGGAACATGAGAATAGGATAAAGAATGCCCGGAAGAAAAAGAAAAAAAAGAAGAAGAAGTGAAAGTTTATTGAGCTCCCTTCCTTTCATGTAACACGCTTTTTATTAAGAGTGATATGGATGTAGTTGTACACGCGAGAAGCTTCTCTAAATGTGGACAGCTTAAAATGGTGATTCTCCTTTTTTTTTTTTATTTTGTCTTCTTTCATAAACAGCTCATGTTGTTTTAATGTGGATTAAACAGAATTTCTCACGGGAGCTCCGCTAACTCATTAGTAGAACAACTTGACCGCAAAAATGATTGTAGGAATTATGCGCAGTTTTATCTTTCTAAAGATATCTTGCCCTGAATTAACTTTCACGTTTAATTATGGACAGTCATTCTTGTGCGTGCCCCAAAGGTTCCCCTCTTTGGTGCATTTGGTTATTTTTGTAATAAGGTCGCCTCGCAACGACGCTCTAGTTATATTTTAAAAAAAAAAAAAAAAAAAAAAAGAAAAGGGGAGAAAACACGAATGCCTATGTTGATTTATTATAATGATTTTCAAATTTTTTTGAAAATTGCATCAAGATATATAGGCAAATGTACGCATACGCATACGTCGGTTCGTACATGTGTGAAGTCGCATACATGACTGGAGACACATCCATACGCACAGATTTGTACCTGTGCGACGATTCCTACAAGTGCACAGATGCGTAGATGCACAAATGTCCAAAAGCACTGGCACCCATGCAAAACATACATTCACATCGTATACATTCACAAATGAAATCATTGAATATGTGATGTTCCATCTTTTTTAAAATAAGTGCATGCAGAATACATGTGCTAATTAAAATCTCATGAATATGACTGCAATATATATATGTTACAATAGAAAACTGAAACAATGGAAAAGCAGAAAGAAAGATGCAGCAGGGGGGGTGAGAAATGGAAGCCTTTATGAACACATAAATATTTTGTGTCTTCAGACAATTAATTACACATAATTGAATGAATTAAACTTTTAAGAATGACAATGCCTATATATGTACACTCACATATTGCATGAAACGATACATACACATATGTTTCGAAGTTATGTTAAAATATAATATGTATTTATTTATGTAATATATTTTTTTCTATTTTTCATTTATTTTTTTTTTTATGTCATTTTAGCAGCAAAGGTATACTCTTGAAAATACCCAATACATAATATTACACATACTCAATTTTAATATTCCCATTGCAATATGGTTCTATTCAAATTTTCTTAGGCAATATATGTATTCACAATACTTCCTGCTGAATAACAAGAAATAATTTGTAGAAAACCTAACTCACACATATGATGGTTGTGGCTTATATTTGGACTAAAAAGGCGGAGCTTGCAGTGAGTTGAGATCCGGCCACTGCACCCCAGCCTGGGCGACAGAGCAAGACTCTGTCTCAAAAAAAAAAATAAATAATAAATAAATAAACAGAAGGAAATAAATATTATACTAACATATACAAACTGAAAAAAATAGAGCTCTCCTTACTTTGAAATATCTGTATGAAGAGATATTCATGAGGTATTTTTCTTATTACAATTGGGTGATATTTATTGGTGGATTTACTTTATTTTATTTATTTTTTTTCATTTTTTTGGAATAAGAAAAATAAAAATTAGTTTCCAATTTTAAGATAACATTTCGGACGAATATACCTCCTCAGAAAACATGACGTTAATCGTAATCTTTAATAATGTTGTTTGAAATTAAATACTCCTTTTGGTCATCATACATTTTAAACCTCTCTTCTGCGTATAGGAAAAAATCAAATTCGTTGTAACTTTTGGTTTGATACCCTCTAATAATGGACCAGAATCCCCATAACAAATGGGCACCCAGCGCTTGAACCTCGACTGCCTCTAATATCTGATCAATTAATTTGGGGGTTGGCAGGTCAAGAGATTTGTCCAGATAATTTGATAAATATGCAGTGATAAACAATTTCCTATTTTCATAGGAAATGTATTTTTTCTTATCAATTGCAAAAAAAGGATAAGTGCTTACAGAATAATCTATGGATGTTTCGATGAAAAAGTTGGCTATATCTGTTGCGAGAAAATTAAAGCCAGAGTATTCAAAATCAATTAGGCGTAAACACTTATTCGTGTTAATAATGTTGTTTTCTTGTAGGTCATTATGGCAGAAAACGATAGTATTCGCTAAATTTTCTGACTTGGAGTATTCACTCATAAAATTAATAAACTTATCAGATTCTTTGATATACTTAAGAATATCAGACTTGTACTTTTCTATATTCTTATATTTGAAGAGCTGATTTTTCCATTTCTCCATCATTTTAAAGATACGGGGTGTTCTATCCCAGTGTTCAGGTAAATGGCGTTTCCGACTGAGGGTATGAAATTTACCCAACACATTTGCAATACCAGTTAATATGGTTGGATTTCTTAAATCATCATTTCGTAGAGGATCCCCATAAAGCCATTCCTCTATTCGCCCCCCATTAAATGTGTTTAGCAATTGGGGAGCTATTTTATATTTACTCATAGTTTTGTACACCTCAAATTCGGAGATTGTATTGTACAACTCGTCAACGTGTTTTCCATAAATCCTAAATAAAACACGTGTCCTTATGGAGTGATAATTGTTTGCTGTTTGTTCTTTTAGGCCTACCTCAAATAGCTGGTTGGTTAGTCCACTTAATATCTGCTTAACTCTTAGATTATCTTCGGTAAAATGTTGCCACTCTGGTACTTTTTCTAGGCAGATCTTTTTAATATATAACGGATCCGTTAGGTCCGAAAATTCTTGGGCACACAATGGTATGTCGTTTTTTTTATTAACTTCTTGTAAAGGAAATGGATTTTCGGATATTTCGATTTCCTGATTTAGCTGAATAGTACTATACATTTTTAAGTCTTCGGGATAACAGACGGTTCCATTTTTGGGAGCATTCAAATTTCCATTGTTTCTGTTTTCAGCATTTGATAAATTATTTTTATCATTTTTAATATTTTCATATGTCCTGCTCATACTTTCCATTTTCGCTTGTTGGCTGTAATGCGCTATTCTTTGAATTCTGTCTCTTTTTCTTCTCAAGTGTATTGAAAGGTGAAGGGAGTGCAAGAAGCGTCCAGATATGGTGTTCATATAAAACAAGCGCGTAACGCGAGCAAATGAGGGGTGCAAAGGAAGGGTGGGTATACGGCATAGATGTAGATTAGTAGGTATTACGCGTGACTGTAATAAGCTGCTATAACCGGTGATTACAACGAGTGATTATATCGCGTTGTTTAGTGGAGTTATTATATGGCGCTATCATAACGCGCGGAAACGGTTACGCTATTTTTGAACGACGTCTTATAGATGTTACGTTTACAAAATTGCGCGAACTGAATTATGAAATTTTTAAATGCACAAGCATACGTCTAAGCACATATAAACAAATAAGAAAACAGTGGGCTATGTATACACATTTGTTTATGTAGGCAAATTTTATAAATTCACAAATGTTTTTCAATCAGCTCACCAAGCATATAGAGACTGTTACTTTTTCGTTAAATTCCTTTGAATTGTTTTTAAGGTAGAAAGATAAAAAATTAAAATGAAATACACATGTGTTGTGAAATCTACAGAGTGCAACATCTAGAAATAGATTTGATTTAAAATACAATCGATTCCCCAAATGTGGAAAAAGAAGGATTTTTTTTTTTCTGGCATTAATCATGCGAGGTGAAATAATAATTCCCTAATGTTGCAATTTTATAAATTGTCAACGGATGAAGGTATATTTTTTTGTTCGTGTTATTTTATTGCCCCAAAGTTTTACAATTCAGTCGCTTTACAGTTTTGTCGTCTTACAGTTTTGCCGTTTTATAGCTTTGACGCTTTGCAGCTTCGACGTTTTATAGTTTTACTGTTTTGTTGATTTATCGCTTTACTACTCTGTCCGTTCACTACTTTGTTCATTTGCGGTCTTATTGCTTTATTATTTCTCTTTTTTGAAAAATGTCATTTGCGCGCTGTGTATATCCTTGAGTAACCGTTCAGAAGAAATTTGCTTTGTCATATGTTTTACTCTTTATCTTTTGGAAAGAAAAATTTAAAATGGGGAAAATAGCACCTTGCCATAAAAAAAAAGAAATAATTGTTGGTGGAAGGGGGGATAGCCGTCAGATAATTTTTTATTTGACCTGTTTTTTATTGATTTAATACTTACATTCCTTTCGAAGCAAAAGAAATAATTCTGTGCTTGATTAAAAAAAAAGAAAAAAGATCTTAGTATTCTCTGATAATATTTTTACTTCTATCCCAATTAAGAACAAAAACACGAAAGGTGTACTAAGATGATGGCTATTTATAGATCAAATTAACCACATACAAGTACCACTGGAAGTATAGTTCCATAAATACATCTAACGGTAAAATTAAAATGTATTACGCTTCTATTTTTAAAAAATTGCATGAGAAAAACGAAAAATAATATAATAAAATGAAATACGCCAAAAAGAAAGAAGTATGAGGTATAAAATATATCAGAGTGTTCCCAATACTCTGGTATTGATGCAGTTATACTCATAGTAATGCTAACATTAAAATATAAGTTTCTTAAGTAACTGTTTCTTACATATAAATTATGTATAAACGTATGAAAAAAATTTTTTTTAATTTAAAACTTAACGCGATCTATTATAAACGAAAGCAAAATATATAAAATATTGTTCTGTAACAATTCTGTTAAGTTGAACAAAACTTTTAATTTATGCATATTAAGTTTATGCTTTTTTCAGTTTGTAAATTTTTCGGCAAAAATTTTAAAGCACAGCAATTGGGAAGAGGATGTTCGCATGGTATAAAATAGTATACAAGAGGCATGTTTCATATGCCCGCATACGCATGTATACGTATACATAATAAGGGAGAAATCACATGGCATATGTTTAAAATGAGCAGCAAAATGGCCGCAATAAGGATGAGGAAGGTCCTACATATAAAGTATAAATTATGGATGTATAAATATATATATCTATGTGTATACTTACGTATAGATTCGCAAACGTGAATAAAATACTATGAGTGAGGATAAACTGGCATAAAGAAAGGGTAATAAGAGTGAGCGATGAGAAAGGCGATATTTGTGAAGGCGCGCAGTAAACCTGCAAGAGGAAAACAAATTTGTTTAAAGATGCTAAAAATTATTTCCATAAAATTTAATATTGGTTAAAAACACGCACTTCCACGTTGGGCTATTTGGCGATTGTGCAACTGTGCGATTTGCGCGAAGAGGATTTGTAAAAATTAACATAACGTAATAATTATAGTGTAAAATTTGTTTAAAGAAAATTATGACTTGGGAAATTTTTTTTTTCCCAATTTAAAATTAAAAATGAGAAAGAAATTGACCCTGGATATTGGGGACATGAATTTTTGAGTATATAATTTTAATACATATATGTGATTAATACGCAAGAAATTAAAAAGAAAAAAACATATTTTTTTTTCTTTAAAAATGAGCTGCGGTGTATTTTTGAAAATGCTTCATATAAAATAAAGATCAAAATTATATATAAAACTATGTTTGGCGTTTATTCTACGCATCAATTTCGTGTAGTAACAAAGTGTATAATAAAGCAATTCCAAAGGGGGGAAAACTTTGAACCATAAAGCAGATTCGCATTTGCAGCAGGAAGACTACGTTATTAGATTTTTATGTTTCAATTGGTAATTTATACATTTGCTGTGACCCATGCGGAAATGATTCTTTTGAAGGAAATGTGTTTTTACGCGTAAAATTTAAACGTAGGGGGGGAACGCGCATGAATGGAGTCATTTGTGATTTAATGTGAAGAATTAATCTTATATGTATAAAGGCGCACATGGGTGAATATAGAACTATAATTTATCGGGAAGGTGCTCATGATTTCCTGTATGCTGAAAATGCATATAACGGATGAATTATTTGTGAGAAAATTAAATGACAGGCGTTTTCAGAAAACGCAAATTGGACATATATGTAATTAATTGCGCATCATCAATTTGGAAATGCAAATGAAATAGTGAGCAGTTTGCACATCACGAATTCTGCGAACAAGGGAGGAACAGTCCCTCGTTATATGTCTGATATGTGTTGAAATATATTACACAGTTATATGTGTATACATATATATATGCATATACTGAAGGAAGGAATTTATGACGATTTGAATTTTCCGTTTAAATTTTATTTTCCGTGTTTTATGTACCCATCCAATGTTTTTTGAGGAGATAAAGATACTGTTCATAATTCAGTCACTGGATTAAAATTTGCTGCGCTGTGTAGATGACGTTTTAGCGATATACACATGTATATGTATACAGTCTGTAGGTCCATTGGAATTTTTTTCTTTTTTTAAAGTCCAAAAGGATGGGAGAAAAGAACAATTCGAAAAAAGGATGAGCACATGTTTAGATAAGCGGCAAAAGCGTTAAATTGAGCTTGCCAAATTAATCAGTTTTTTTTTTATTTTTAGTATGTGCACAAATAATTATTTAGGACATTTATTCCTTTTACATAGGCCTATAAAAGAATGTGCACGGGGATAGGTTGTGGCTTCACAGAAATTGCTTTTTGTAGAGCATACAATTCTTACATGTCGATCTCCTGACAGTTGCGGAATGTGTGTCATAGACAATTTTTAGTCCACATTTCAAAAAGGAGAATTAATAATACGCTAAGAATGGTCATAAGAGAAGCGTTTTGACTGATTAGATGTACGTATTTGCAGACTAAATTCATATTGCTCCTGTGTTTTATCATGAATTTTCATCTGGAAAATTTACCAAAGGTGTATTCAACAAATGTCACGATATTGAAGATGACTCCATACGGAGAAATATTCAGCACCTTCTGAAATGAATAGTTTTTTGTTTATTTTTGTTCACAAATGTGTTCACTATTTTAATTCTTTTATGTGGGAACGTTTGCACATAAAGGAAATTGGGGTCTACAAGGGGTTTTCATTAAAGAGACCTATCTGAAAATAATGATCCTTCCGCTATGATGCTATCATATGGATTCTACAGGCCCTTCTGCACTTATTTTTTGGAAAAATATATTAAGAGCGTTATTTGTGTTAAGAAAATAATTCTTATGTCCTAGTAGTCTGCTACGGCGCGCACAAAATATGGGATTGAAAGAACAGAGAAAAAATCTGTATATTATTGCTGACACTTTTTTTGTGAAGTATTCATAGATTTGTAATAAGCAAGATGCCCTTGGTTAGAAAAAATTACATGAGCAAATAGCGATATATCTGTTCTATTGCTATTATTGCGAATGTATGTACATTCTTTTTTAAACATAACTGACACATTGGATTGGGGACACAGAAAAATAAATTTTGCAATGCCGCAAAAGGGTTTATTGAACAGCGCATTGGTATATACTACTGTTTCGTTAACGAAGAGAGACAAAATAAGTTCTTTCGTAATGTACATGGTGAGATCACCTACAGAAATGAGAAGGTTCAACTGTTTCTTCTTTTCATTTTTACATATAAATGGTTAAAGCATTTACGTGAGCATTTTAAAATTGTGTATTTAGTGGTCTTTAAGAAAAAGAAGGTCAACAATTGAGGATTACCCATAAATGTAACGCAGCATTTACGAGAATATTAATGAATTTCACATTTGGTTCGAGTGAACACATGGAAAGCGGAAAGGGGAGAAAAAAAGATAAAGAAATAAAGCGCAAGGTATATAATATGGAAGCCATTTTAGCATTCAACCGTTTTAATGTTATTTGTAAAAAAATGTGGTTCTAATTTTATTTTCGAAAGTGTATAGGTGTTTTATAATTCCATTTTGCTTATTTCTTCGGAGGGCAATACCTTCAAATGAAATGCTGCTAAATGTGAGCATCGGGACTGTTAAAACAGGTTATTTCATTCATTCGGTTGTGTTCATTTTGCGTTTTTTTTTTCTTTATTTATCACTTTGCGCGTTTCTCAAATAACAGTACGAAATTGGCTCGTTGTTTTAAGCTTTACTTTTGTCGAATAATTTTTGCAAAAACAATTCTGCGAGATGCTCTTCATGTTCCGCAAATGCAACCAACTTTTTTTTCTTTTCTTTTCCTTATGAGAAACACATCTTTTAAAAAGTGGAAGTAATTCAATTGACTTGATTGAACTTGTTTAAGCTGATTTAGCTGAATAACAGAGGCATGTTGCTAGCTGACCCGTTTTTAAATTTGAGTTATGCGCTTGAATTATATGCTTCGTAGACGAAGTATGGCACATGTGGTTCCATTTATCGCATGACGCTAAAAGCGGGTGTTATAAGTGGTCAGTCCTCTCTTGCTTCACGCCAATGTGGTCTCAGAGCATATGTCACGTTATGTTGTCTCACGGCAGATCCGCGTGTGGCAATAGGTAGCCATTATAAAAGTATACCATTATTGAGCTCTGTAAATTTAGACATATTCCCCATTCCATAATGTTAGTCACAAAGTGTGAAAAAGGATCGGAACGGTAACTCTGCATATAGGAAGGTTAATAAAGCGAAAGGGATAAATTTAAGTCAATGTGAAATCAAGGATAGCATATCAGCAACGGACGTTGTTTCTTTTTTCCACCCATTGCATACATACATGTGCATGCCGAAACCGTCGGTTAAAAGATTGCAAACGTAGAACATGAAATGTCAGTCCCTTTTAATACATGGTGAATAGTGGGGATTTTAGAAATGGAAAGTGGTTTTGAAAAATATTATGTGCATGCAGGAGGTTTTATAAATTTAATGCAAAAATATTAGCTGAATTGATAAAAATTTTTGAACCAGAACAGAAAAAAAAATCTAATTTGACTAAAATGTATTTTGTTATATCTTTTTCTTGTTGTTTACATGTATATCCAACGAGAAAATATAAGTAAATGTTTCGATCTCATTTCTCATATCATCACGACGTTCATTAATTTTGTCAGCTTTGTTTTCGATGAGTACTTGTGTTTTGATTTTTTCACTTTCATGAGAATTTTTTTTTTTTATCTTTGTATTTTTGAGCATTACAACTGAGGGTACAATTGTATTCAGTTTTATCACGGTTTTTTTTAAATGTGTCTCTTAATTTCTCTTATAGCTGTATGGATTAGTAGCTTTTTTCCATTGTTATAGGGAGCAACACCTTATCATACATTTATACAGCAGCGACCCCTTTTGTCTATTTCAAATTTTAAAGTCTATGTAAGGTTCAAGTTTTTATAAGGCATTATATTCATTTAATAAGAGGAAATATTAACGCAAGCGGTTGTATTTCTAATGTTTAACAAAAAAAAACGAATTAGCAGTGAACCGAGGTCCAATTTATTTTTGTTCCATCGTTTGCGAAATGGTAAGATTCCAATTTCCCACTCCTAAGCGACACAGAAAATTAAAAGAAGAAGTTCCATATACGAAAATTATATATTTGATGTATGTAAGACTCTTCCTATCGAGAAGGAAGAAACAATATTTAGCTTAATTTTTTATTCATGCCTTTATGTACCCTTGGGGGGCAAATACGGTTGTTCACAAATAAAATAATCAAACTCTGAAATCGTATACCTTACATTATGAAGATAATTAAAGTGTATAAATCTATTTGTATATCATTCATGATATATTTGTCAAGAATAATATTGCATAGCCTAAATTCGTTCAATATAATAGTGCATATTTCTGTAGATAACGGAAATCAATATCTGCCTGGGATAAATGCGAGAAATCTTGCACAAAGACATCCTTCAAGACAGGCATTAAAACGTCCTTATAATTTGGCACTTACACACGATGAACTTTTAAGACTTCTTGAGATATTACATATAGAATCAGTAGCCGCAGGTGATATAATAAGTGCCATGATTCGACGTCTGAATGAAAACACAGGACGTGTAGATGTTCAAGGGCTAGTTAGGGAGAAGCTGTATAATCGTATACGAATAGAAATGCCACAGTACCCCACAGAGAGAAAAGAAACTATGCAGGCTAGATTAACCGAATTGGTTGATGGTATAGTCAGAATTAGTCCATTAAATAAGGATATAATTTTACACAAGTTGAACGCCTATAATGTGGAATTAGACGAAACTGTAAGCATATTGAAGACTGTTGCAAGACAGCGTACAGAGGAAGGAATATATGAGATTTTAAATAATTTGACACTTATAGGAGAATTACTACAAAGTCGACTGAAAAGTAACGATATTTTAGTAAATGAAGATACATTAGCCATAATGATACTTCGATTAAGAAGAAGAGTTTTCGACATTTTAGACTTTCATAATGGTATGTTATCCCGTGCAAATACTAACTGAAGAAATGAACACCGCCGCGAGTTGTCCTGTAGTCGACGATTTTCCATAATTTCAAGAATAATTACATCTGTTTTTACTGCCACGAAGGCGACATTCCAAACCAGGTTATGTTAAGAAATTGACAACTAATTATGCAGAAGAGGGAGAACTGACGGAACACGCGTATATCTGGTTTGTATTGTAAATGTGAAACAGATATTTACCACTGCCCCCGTAAATGACTTATGCTAAGAAATATATACAATGCAATGTGAATGTTAAGCAATCAGATCAGCATATAAGGTTTAAAAAGTAGAAGAAAACGGCATAAAGAAGCTAGTATGATGACCGATGTATGATAAGCCGTGCGCTCCATTAGAAATGATAACGCCCTTAATTTGTTCGCACAAAAAGGAAGCTTAGATGATTACGGATATGGAACTTATTTAAAACAACACCATCCCTGTTTGTACACATTTAGGACATATTTGTACGTCAACTTCTCGGAAATGATGGGCTTAAGAACAGTTCCATACAAATGCACATATTTGGCATTTCCATATTAATCAAATTAGTGATATGAAGGAATAAGTCGGAGGTAACAGAAAAATAAGGATGTGCTCATATATGTTTATGCGCAGTTCCTTACCTTTCTTGTAAGAAGAGCAAAAACAACATATCAGTAAGCATGCTATGCTTTGGACAGACCAAACCGAGCTTTCAAGTAAGCAGTTCGCGCTGCAAGGATTGGCAATGTCTCGCGTATGTCCTTATGCCCTTTTGTTACACATGTCTCAAATATCACCGGTCCAGATGTCCTGCATCCAGATGGTACACACCCAGATGCTGCACATACGACTGGTACACGCACAGATGGTACAAACACACAAATGGTACACACCCCAAGGGTACACACTCCGATGGTGTACCCCCCCCTACGATTTTGTCCCCTATATTATGAATTTTAAGAGTACCACAATACATGCCTTATCATATATACATTCTTGAGCTCATGTCGAGAGAGTGACAATTTTGATTTTATTCTATTTCGATCTTTTTGCCTTGTTGCGGTATTATAGTTATATATCATTGTGCCTCGGAACTATACAGTGCCACACTACATCATCATTTCAAGTGGGTCAATTACAACTCTTAGAAAATATGTAATGGGCGAAAACCATATACAGCGGTAGTACGAAGAGTATGTGTACACATCATGTGTGCAAATAGCAGGAAGTATATTTAAAATTTTTGACGAATAAGCTTTTCCTCATTTATGAAGTATTATTTTAATAGGAGATATTTGTTATAAGGGCAAAGTTGTTTATGACCTCGAGTGGTTAATCCACTTTTGGAAGAAGAAAAAAAAAAAACGGCACATATATGGCGTCACCATTTCTTCGCTGAGATAGAAGTATAAGATGTTTACATTATGAACAAAAAAAGAAAAAAAAAAATGTGGATTCCGCATAATAGTAGAATTTGATCGAAACAGTGGTTTATTCTGTTCTGCAGTAGCACTTATCAATAGTACATAATTTAATACCTTCTTTTAAATCTTCCAGATTTAAATTAGAAGTCGTCTGCATCGTGTTCACTAT